AACTTTTTCATTTAAGGTACCATGCAAGAATGCATTTGTTATGTCCAGTTGATCTATTTTAAGGTTAAATTGAGCAGCAAGAGCAATTAATACTCTAAACGACTCTAGCCTTACAACAGGAGAAAAGGTTTGAAAGTAATCAATACCAAAAATCTGTCCGAAGCCTCTTGCTACCAATCTAGCCTTTCTAATTTTAATATTACCATCGATATCAGTCTTGTTGCTTAACACTAACTTGGAGTCTATGATATTGCTTTGTTTAGGTTGATCCACAATATTCCATGTATCATTTTTTATTATCTGTCCGATCTCATCACAAATTGAATTTTTCCAATCTTCACCATACTCACCATCTAAGGCTTCTTGATAATCGATACCTGCAAAATTAGCTTGCTCAAAAACATCGTCTTGAACAGCTGTTATGTCATCTCCATTTCCGTCATTTTCGTCTCCAACATTTGCAGACTGACTGTGTTCACGAGATGGTAGAACATTTCTAGATTCTCGAAGATTAGAGGTTGAATTATACCTCTTTGTTGGTCGTCCAGGTCTACCTGTCTTAACTAATTTTGGTCTACCTGGCAGGCGTTTTTCCATATTTGCAGTTTGGTCTTCATTTCTTGAAAGAAAATTTTCATCCTTATCTTCAGTGGATAACTCGATTTCAACACCATTTAATTCTGTAAAAACTTCATTTTGATTTTGATTATACGTTGTATCACCCATGACTTTAGCTTGGCCTCTTAAAGTAGCTAAATTTTCTTCTATAACCTTTACATCTCTTGATATAATTACTTTCCTCATTTCCGGTATCCAGACTCTATAAGCTTTGCTTTCTTCTGAATATCCTACGAGTCTGCCTTCATGAGCTCTGTCTGCTAGTTTACTTTTCTGCGATTTGTCCAAGACAAATACTTTTGCACCAAATGTTTTAAAGTGTATTAAACTTGGTATTTTTCCATACCATTTTTCATGAGGAATACCTCCATCCAATCCCATGGTTGGACACCTGTTTCTGATGTAATTCGCTGCCATCAGTGCTTCTCCCCAAAACGATAAAGATAAGCCCGAGTCGGCTAGCATACATCTTACTGCCTCAACCAGAACTCTGTTCTTTCTTTCAGCTAATCCATTTTGTTCAGGATTTCTAGGAGCTGAGAATCTTCTTTGTATACCTGCAGACACTAAGCAACTATTCATGTTTTCGTTACAGTACTCTTTTCCATTGTCTGACTGTAAAGCTTTAATTTTTTCTCCAAGTTGATTTTCTGCCATGTTTTTAAATTGTAGAAATTTAGCATAAACCTCGCTTTTATTTTTCATTAAATATACTGTGCAGTAACGAGAGTAATTGTCAATAAATGTGACAAAGTATCTTGCACCTCCAATGGTTGGTACATTAAATGGACCACATACATCTGAATGTATTATTTCTAGAGGTTTTTTACATCTTTCACTGGAGTGATTGAAAGGACTTTTTGTCTGTTTACTTATGGCACAAATATCACACTTTTGAATTGATTCATTATCACTAAATTTTATATTACTAGTTCCAAGCATGACCTTTCTTAGAGTTTTCTCATTTAAATGAGCCATCCTGCCATGCCATAATCTCAAAAGAGAACTTTCCTTAATTTCATTTACGTGTTGAGCAATTTGATTTTCAGTCTTTCTCAAATAATACAGATTGCCTACTCTGTCAGCAATTAATTTCACCTGTTTAGTTTCTCTATCCCTCACAATAGCAACATCTTTGTCAAAAGTTACTGTATTGTCTTTATCCACAATCTTAGAAACCGATAAAAGATTTGACCTTAAATCTGGTACGTAGAAGGCATTTTCCAGTTTTATATTTCTGTCTTCGTTGTTCGCATTGATCTTTAATTTTACAATGCCTTTTCCTTTTATACTAGTGGAACCATTGTTTGCCAAATTCAGATTTTCACTCGTATCTAATAAACAATCAAAACTTTCACTATCTTTACATAAATGTGCAGTGCAGCCACTGTCTAGAACCCATCTACTTTTATCATCGTTAACATCTTTACTTGAATTGCCAACAAAAGCATAGAAGGCATCATCTTCTGAGGCATTATCTTCTGCCACGTTCGCATTTTGATCATTGTTGTTGCCCTTACTCACTGTAATTTTTGATCTACAGTAAGTTGCTATATGTCCTCTTCTTTTACATTTATAGCAAGTCATATTTGAGAACTTATTGTAATTTCCTGCTCTATTGTTATTTGTAAGTCTTGAATCATCACCATTATTTTCACCTTTATTCTTGTGAAAATTTTTGTTAGACATTGATGCTGCCATAGCACTTGAAGGCTCAGAGTTTGACTTCCTTGCTTGAGATTCTTCTAAAATTTTTACTTTAAGCGCCTCCGCATTGGGCAGCTCATCTCTTGTTTCGATGGCACATCTAAAGTTCTCAAATGAAGCTGGCAGACTGTATAGCATCATAATTGAGAACAAATCTTCATTAATTTCAATGTTCATGTCAGCTAATTTATTCTTAATTTCAAAAAATTTATTAAGGTGAACTGTGACATCATCACCTTCACCCATTTTCTTTAATGTAAGCTGCTTTAATAACATAGCTTTTCTTGCTGGACCTTTAGATGCAAAAGCACTTTCCAGCTTTAGCCATACCTCTCTTGAAGTATTGCATGTTTTTAATTGAGATAACTGGCTGGGACTCACGCACAAAATGATATCGGCCTTTGCCTTGGAATCATTTTTTACCCATTCTACTACTGCATTAGCATTTTGCGTCGCATCTTCAGGCTTTACTAATGTGCCATTTACGTATTGCCAGAAATCATTTTTAACAAGTATTGCCTCCATCTGCATACGCCACGTCTCATAATTATCTTTTTCTAACAGTTGAATTCGAGTTACACTATTCATTGTTCCCGAAAAATCTCAACGCCACGTGGTAACTTAACCTGTACAGTGTCCGGCGAACTAATCGCTATTAATTTCAATATCTGTTAGAGCTCTGGGCCCATAACCTATTAAATATATGCAGAGCACGAAAATGGACAATTGTACGTGAAAATAAGTAATGCTTACACATTTAACCGATAAACGTATTTTTAATAGTTCAATCTCACTTTAGTCACAAAGCGTTCGCATTATGCGTCATACACGTTTCGGTATATATAAAACAAAAGAAGGGAAAGCACACAGTTAAATTTGCGCGCTGTATTTGAAAATCGTGCATTGTAAGCCAGTAATATCTTTAACACATATCTATAATCATCTTTTTTTATCAATGAAATTACAGAGATATGCCAGAAAAATGAATTATAAAACTTGCACATTTTGCAATATTTCGCATATTCTATATGCAAAAAGATACAGAAGGCGATGTAAATGTGCTGTTTGTATTCCTATTAATGTATCTATCATTTACTGACAAAATTTTGATTCCTGCCGAACATACAAAAGGACAGCGCAAACGAAAGAAAGGTAGCAAGAACGAAATAATACACATAGCGTACGCGACCATAAAACTTACAAGAATGAAAACTACAGGACATTAATAATTTCAATAAGGTGAATCGGAGGGAGTGAGGATGCAACAGTTTTACACTAATTCTAAACGCGTCTATAAATGCGAGTGCTAGTGAGACAGTAAGATGACGATACCGATGGTTTGGCGAGACGGACTGTGTTTTGTCGTACGGAATGACATCGGTTTTGTCTTTCACGATTTTTCTGTTTCTCGTCCCGAATATTCTCGCGCACGGATTCGACGCGATTATTCGCCGGAGATCCGCTACTAATGATGTAAAGAAGGGAATAGGATATCGGAGTTATGGGATTATAATTCACGAAACAGTTCTTTATATTTAATTATAAAAACTTTATTCTAACAGCATGGAACTACGTTCTAAAATGTGCACAGAATTTCTGGTGCCCACTTCAGAAAGGAAAACTAACGGCCTGGGCTTTTCAATATGTTTATGACTCAGGCCCTTAGATCTGGTACGGCTAGAAACCTATTGACTACGCAGACAGAGTCAGACCTTTATCTTATGGCCAGTGTCGCTCAATTAAAAGAATTCATTTTTGATACTTAAACTATATTTCAACATACGAAATAAAGAAACATGTAATACTTTTTTAATTTCAATTTATTTATTATAAAAATTAAGGACAACATTTTGTCCCGCACCGCGCCCGCCTCCCCTTCCTCCTCGCCGTCCTCCTCGCCACCCACGGTGGCCGCCGCGGTGTCCACCGTACAATAATCGTTTTATCATTTTTTTTATCTGAAATATAATAATGAATTTTAATATAATTATATCAGCATATACAGAGCGTCTCAACCCAAGTGTGACAGAGTCGTTATTCCGTAACTATGAACCTATTAAAAATACACTTGTTATAATATAATTATTAAGTTATGAAGTTAATAATACTATTGTAAAAATGACTTCTGTTTCACGAATAATGTAACTGTATCACATTTATTACATAGAAAAATGAACGTTTTTACTTACTTTCGACGTCGACGGCGGTTCTTCTTTCTTCTCTACTTCTTCCTTTGGTACGTTTTGTACTTTCTCCGCACTGTCTGTCCCTTTTTCTTCTTCTTTTTTTTCTCCTCTTTCCTCCTTATTTTCTTTCTCTATTTCCATCTATAATGAAAGTAATTTATGTGTAAATAATGTAATATTAACGATATATTCTGCTTGCCGATTATACGCACCTTCTCTTCAGCCATGTTCAAGCTTGACTGTCTTCTGTCATGGATGCTGAAAGCACTCGCATGGTGGTTGGGATCAGGACCGTGGTCACTGACATATAAAATAGACCCTTTCCTAATTTCTAATTTCTAATTTCTAATTTTACAGATTGAATTTTTATTTTCATGTTATATTTTTTTCTTATAATCTGAAATTATAATATTATAAATGAATACAACTTCAAAACTTTTTTTTGTAATGAATATCGACGTCATTTTTTATTTTTCGTAGTCCTTAGAAACACTCCCCGCCACGGTACCCTCTGTTTCTCGGTACTGTGTTTTACGTCTTCGCGACAGTTTTCACGCTAGTTGCATTCGAAGCAAGGAATAGATTGCATCATTGAATTTATTTCAAAGCTTTGAAAGTGTGAAGTGAAGTGAAAGGTGAATATTGTTGTGGGATAGTGACAATGAGTGATAGTGAAAATATTGTCGTGGTTGAAGATATAAGAAATCAGTATGAAGATCAGTGTTTAATAAAAAATAAAAGTCGTCGGCCAAAATTACCAATTAGTACGAAAAGATATTCAAAAAAAAGAGCATGTCGCGAAAGAAGACGGCGTTTAGCCCTTCAGAATATTTCCGAGCCGTCAACATCCGATGGACAAACATACACTCCCGAGAAAATTTACTTGCCATTGGATGAAGAAACAGAAACGGCAAATTGTACACAAATGTTTGAAGAAACGACGGAAGAATTGTTTCAAATTGAAGAAACGGACAATACAGAAGATGGGTTAAATATAGAAGGTACAACTTCCGAAAATGAAGAATTGATCATAGAGAAAACTGTAACGAACGAGCCTGAAGAACAATTCTGTCTACCAAGTGGCTTGAGTATCGTGGACATGCAGTACATGTTTGCCGAATTTCAAAAAATAGGTGACCATGCTAAAAACAGGGAAGACTGTGGAATTAGACACCTGAAAATAACCGGCATAAAACGGTCGGGCCTGAGGACCACCCTCAGTGTAATATGCGATATGTGCAAATATACAGGTGAAATCCACAGTGAACCTGACGAAAGCAATAAAATGGAAACAAACCAGTGTACCGTTGCTGGAACAATTGTGAATGGAGGCACTTATCCCCAAATGGAGGAATTCCTTGCAGCGATGAACATACCCTCCATGTCGAAGAAAGAATTTAGAAAACATCACAATAAAATAGTGAAAACATTAATTGTTGCTGCAGCAGAAGAGATGGTAGCAGCGGCAGAGGAAGAAAAACGCTTGGCCATTGAAAGACACGATATTGTTTCCGGATGTGGAATCCCTCACATCCCCGTTGTGGCCGATGGAAGCTGGATAAAACGATCATATCGGACTGGAACGTACGATTCCGCGTCTGGAGTCGGCGTTATAATTGGATATCACACGAAGAAAGTTTTATTTATCGGTGTCAGAAACAAGGTGTGCAGGATTTGTCGATGTATTGCGAAAAAGAAAAAAGAGCCACGAAAGTTACCTGTTTCAAAAATTGGCGCGCAAGCCAAGCATCAACGGCTATGGAAAGTGACGCTATAGTCGAAGGCTTCAAGACCAGCGTAGAAAAACATGGGCTCATTTATTCAACACTGATTGCTGATGGGGACAGCAGCGTTTATAAAAAAATTATAGATGCAGATCCATATAAAGCACAGATTCGTGTAAAAAAAATTGAATGCACGAATCATTTGTTGCGAAACTGTTGCAGAAAAATAAAAGAAGTTGTAAAGATGACAACACCTGGTCCATTCAGAAGAATCGTTGAAAGTAGCATTCGGCGAATACGTGCGGACATAGTAAAAGCCGCAGAGTACAGATACAGTCAGCAAGTAACAACCGCTGAGAAAATTAAGAATTTGTATGCCGACATACACAATGTTCCTAGCCACGTTTTTGGTGAACACGCAGATTGTTCAAAACTGCAGTACTTCTGCGATGGAACGAGTAAAAAAGATGAAAAGAACATTGTTCCCGAATTGATGAAGATGGGAGTGTACGAACACATCAAAGAAATACTTCGACCTCTATTGGCGCATGCTGAGAGTTTGCTGTATAACAGCAACAATAATGTCGTCGAAAGTTTCAACGGAATCATCGCAAAATATACAGGAGGAAAAAGATTGAATTTCGGCGAGAGAGGATCTTAGACGGGAAGATGTGCTGCTGCTGTCCTGCAGTATAACACAAAACAAGTGTTGTCGCGTCTAAATATGGCGATGAACAAGAAACCGCCCATTATTTTACGCAAAATAGAAAATAAAAGGAAGAAAGAAAATGAGAAATACAGTGAAAAGAGAAAAGAACAAAAAATTACGAAGCACGTGCGGAAACAATTCCGTTCTGAAAAGGATTCCAATTACGGACCAAACGCTGAAAAGCCGGATATGGCTAACAATATTTATGAATTAGAGCAAACAAAACATATGGAAATAGTACTTTCACGTCGTATCTAAAAAAAACTAATTTAATAATTTCGCGCTTTAATCGAAGCGTGTATAAATTACAAAGCAGTGATGATCTTGCGTTGTGGAAGTTGTTTGAACTTTCAACTGTGGAAGTGACGATGACTATCAGGATAGTCCGATGCTTCCCTGGAAGAACTACCGCATATGCGGCCTATTCACAGAGAAGACCACATCATGTCTAGTACTTTCACGTCGTATCTAAAAAAAACTAATTTAATAATTTCGCGCTTTAATCGAAGCGTGTATAAATTACAAAACATATGGAAATGTTGCAGAATTGGCAAAATAGTAGAGATGCCATTGAGGAAGAAACCATCGGTCAAGCAAAAAATCCGAGATGGTTGAATTATAAATCTAAATTATTGACGGCCTCTAATTTTGGACGAATATGCCGTCGTCGAATTGGCACGTTCTGTGCAAATTCAGTGAAGTCGTTTGTGTATCCACGACTGATTAGTGCACCTGCAGTACAATATGGACAAGAATGCGAAAAATTCGCACGTGAAGAACTAAGTGCGTGCATTGGTGTTGAAATTAAAGAATGTGGCTTATTTATTGATAGTGCCATCCCGTTCTTAGGAGCTTCGCCAGATGGACTTGTAGACGAAGAGGGCATTGTGGAAATAAAATGTCCGAAAACGGCGGAGAACTTATTGCCGGAGGAAGCAATCAGAAGTGTTGCAATTATTCGGCGTATATTTGCAAATGCAGAAGGAAATGCATTGAACAAGAACCACTATTATTACTACCAGGTACAAGGACAATTACATGTTACAGGTAGGAAATATTGCTTATTTTGTATCTGGACCCGAAAAGGGTTAAAGTACATTAGAGTCGATAGAGACGATAACTTTTGGCAAAACAATATGGAGCCAAAATTAATTCAATTTTATTTATTGTGCATGTTACCGGAATTAATAGATAGCCGGTATAATAGAGGAATGCCCATTCGGGAGCCCCAATTTATAACAGAGGAGAGAGCAAGCTTAGAAAAGCGCAAAAGGTCTCTCTCAAAAAGTAGCACGAATACTGCTACTGTTCGGCGTCGCACTGCACTGTGAAGTGCAGTACCACTGACTCTGTTGGTGGTTCACAATTGCACGAAATAGCAATTGTACTCGCGGATCATACGATCTCGCGAGTTGTTCGACACCGGTATACACATTTGAAAATAGTGACTTTCGAAAAATCAAAAAAGGTCTTATGCGGACAGTAATACAAAATACTATTACTGTCCGGCGTTGCACTGCACTGTAAAGTGCAGTACCACTGACTCTGTTGGTGGTTCACAATTGCACGAAATAGCAATTGTACTCGCGTAATCATACGATCTCGTGAGTTACGCGACGCCATACTATATTTCTTTGTTTTATTTAAAAAGTTTGTTAGAGCTTTTCGAAGAAAGGATTCCCGAGAAGAGGTTTTTTGGAGCGAAGCGAGCGTAGAACTCAAAATTTATTTTTTCAACTGAAATAATTTTTTTCTTATTCCATTCTTGAAATTATTAATGTCCTGTAGTTTTCATTCCTATAATTATAAAAAATATTCCAAAGTACCTTCGACTTCTTCCACATACGTTTATATATCACTAAAAACTACAAAATATCTTAATTTGAGCAAAATCCGACAAAAAACGTTAAAAGGAATTTATTTAATCATCTATTTCCATTAACTTTTCCTTTTTTCAATATTTATCTTACATTCATCTTCGTTCATCTTTGCATGAACATTTTTGTCGTTGAGAAATTGAAGACAGCATTTCCCTCTTCTCGAAAAAAATTAAAAAATTATATATAGATATATTCAAGAAAGCGTTACCAGGGCAAATGGACTGCAAATATGCTGCCTGATCACGCATAATCGGCAAGTATAATCTTACATAATTAATATTACGTTATCTATACATAAATTACTTTCTTCATAGATGGACAAGGAAAAAGAGGAAGAAAAGAAAGAGGATAGAAGAAACAAGGGAAAGAGGTCTAACGACAAGAAAAGAGAAAGAAGAATTCGAGGCCGTCGACGACGTCGCAAGTAAGTAAAACTGTTGATTCTTCTATGTAATAAATGTGGCGGAATTAGATTTTTCGTGACATGGAAATTATGTCTACAACAGTAGCCACTGAATTCCTACGATTGTTTTTTCTTCTTATAAAACATTCATTATTGTATTTCAGATAAAAACAATTTCCGTAACACAAACAATTTCCGATGATGCAGACGCCGTAGAGAAAGAAGAGGCCAAAGCAGACGGCGGGCGACGGCCAATCATTGTTTATATTTATTGATTATATTTCAATGAATAAATATTGTATATATAGATTAATTTACATGTCTTTATTTTTCTGTCCTATTCTGAAATTATTATATTTGAATGAATAAATATTGTATATATAGATCAATTTACATGTCTTTATTGTTCATTCCTTTTCTGAAATTATTAATGCAATGTAGTTTTTATTCGTATAAGTTTTATAATCGCGTACGTTATGTGTATTCATCAAATCTGTCGTGGCGTGTGACATATACATTTCCGCCGATCGGCCCTACGTTGTTTCATTCATGATACTCTTTCTCTTTCTATCGCGCTGTCCTTTCCTATGTCCGCCTGGAATTAAAATCTCGCTCGGCTCGAGCGAATTCATTTTGCTAGATGGTCAGGATTGTCACAGATGTGGCAACACCGCGAAAGAATCTCTAAAATGATGTGATTCGACAACTACGCCACCTCACTTTCGTTTCTTATTCTGCATAATGACGTTAGATGTCGCACCGTCAAATGTCGAATTTCTCAATTATGTGTTTCCACGATTGCCCGATTCTTTCCAATGGCGCTTACATCGATTCAGAGGAGGCCTCGAAGGAGTCTGTACCCTTAAGAACAAACCTCTCTGTCAAGACCTCTACTCTCGTTTCCAAATCCATTATTCCAGTTTCAATATTCATGACATTAATGGGCGTGGTGATCCTATAGCCCATTGCGATGCGTAAGCTCGCGTTTTGAAGTTTAGCCAATTTCTCACGTCCCTTTTTATTATCCCAAAAGTAAACGAATATACCATACTCTATTACCGAACGAACCAGGCCCTTGAAGAAAACGAACATAGTATTTGGGTTAACACCTTTTTTAATGCCAGCCACGAAGCGTAAGATATCGAGGCGCTTCTTTGCCCTGTTACATACATAGTTCACCTGGCTAGAGAACGACAAGCTTTCGTCTAAAATGATTCCCAAAAACTTTACTTCCCTACTACTATCGATGATCATATCTTCAATTACCAAACTACTAACCATCCTTACTCTAGACCTATTTATAGTGAAATTAATCCACTGTGTTTTATCCACCGCCAGATCCAGATCGATCAGCCTTAAGTTGTGTATAATCGATTCCACGGCGTCTACCAGCAAGCGTTCCCTATCTTCTTTGTTTCTACCCCACACATAGACCACAATGTCATCTGCATACAACAATACCTTCCTATTCTCCAGCTCAATATTAGAGCAAATATCAGCAGAATATATGTTATATAACAAAGGGCTCAAGACCGAGCCCTGAGGGAGGCCTTTGACAATCCTTCCCGAAACATCCGGATCAAACTTTCTCTTACATAATGCCATTCTGCTCTTGACCCAATTACAAAGATATCTTCCTATTGCCCGAGGGCATCCTTTATCCCTTAGAATTTCCAACAGCTTCTTATGGTTCACCCCGTCATAGGCTGCCTTAACGTCCACGAATATCGCCGAAACGTCCTCCTTACGGCGGAATGCTTCCTTAACATCTAGAGTGAGGGCCATGAGGTTGTCTAAAGTAGACCTGCCTCTCATGAACCCACTCTATCTGTGGTCCACAATACCGGCCTGTTCAACCCATTCCTGCAGACGAACCTTAACCAGTTTTTCTAGCAATTTCCCTAAGCAATCAATAAGGGAGATGGGCCGCATCGCCCTTTTCCCAGGCTTATTCAGAAATTTGACTACGACCTTTTTCCAACGTACATTTACATCCGGAATTCCATACCCAATTGTACAATTTAAGCAATAACAGTTTCATATCCACGTGCATATTTTTGAGGAAAGCATAAGAAATTCTATCCTCCCCAGGGGCCGAAGAGCTCTTGACCCCTTTTAGTGCCCAATTTAATTCTTGAAGCGTGAAAGGTTCGTCATTTTCACCGCTACCCGGATCCAAGAAAAAATTATCACAGTCCACGCCCAGGGACTCTAAGTCGTCCCCCCCTGACCCCAAAATCTTCTCCGTTTCCCTGTCTTCCAACAGTCTTTTCTCCTCACGAGGGATGACTTCCCCTTCCCTTGAGATCCCATTCGTGATATTCTTAATCTTACGCCACGCATCTTTAGAGCTCGTAAAACAGTCAATAGAATTTGCGAAATCATCCCATGCTTTACCTTTTTTACTGCACACCAGGGAGCGCATCTTTTTCTCAGCATCCCGAAGTGCGGACCAAGCGGCTTGGGACGGCCTACGAATATACAGGGAGATTCTCTCGGCGCGCAACACAATAGCCGCCCCGCACAATGGAACTCTGCTGTGTTTGCGGGCAAAAAGCTCAGAAGGTCAAGTCACCGGACCCAAGACTGCTCTTTTCTCATATATTTTGACAAATTAAAAAGATATTTCTCATACCATTGCTTCCAACGGTATTTCAAGACTATCACACAATGTAAAATACTTAAATTACTTCGACGGCTTAAATACCTAGCACAGAAATACACTGTAGCGCAACCAAAAATTAAGTAAATAGAACAATAATGAATAAAGAAAAAACTAAAAATAGAAAGAATATCATCAAACTCAGTAATTATTAATATATAACCCACCACCTTCAAAAAAAGACACAACCAAAAAATCAAAAAGAAAGGAACATTATTACCCGTTTCATAAAGAGCCAGGGGAGACATAAGGCTCCCAAAATTGGTATCACTCCACACTTCCAGATACAATTCAATCCTCTAAGTGAATTTCCAGTATAACATCCCAAAAAGTTCCAAAATTAATCCAAATCCATGTTCCATAAAAAATAAAAGCGCTGTACTCACACATTTCCATAATCTCATACCATACCATTGACACTTAATCAAAAACTTAGGCCTAAAGAACCAACAAGACCAAACCAGCCAGTCATACAAGTACATCCATCTTACACATTTCCAATGTCTTACGTCCAACAGAAAACCGCCATTAACACAATAAGAATGACACAACGCAAAAGCACTAGTTGTTATCAGCGGAAGGACTCTGCCCAAACACATGGCCAAATTGGCCCTTCTTCATGTCCGCAATTCTTTGTCTGCTCCTTTCTTCTTCCCTTTCAGCTTCTAGTGCCTCCAATTCCCTTTCCCTCCTGGCGTACGATGGGCCCGGAAGGCTGGCTTCCCATTCTTCCTGTAGCCGCTTTTTCTCGACCTCCGTGGCTGCATACAAAGCCTTTTTCCTTTCGATCTTCGCCAAGGTTTTGGGCGGGATCGGGACGTTCCACTCCGGCCGTTGAACCGAATTCCACTCCTCTGCCGTGGGGCGCCTAGCGTATTTCGTCTTTTTCAGGACCTTTTCCACTTCATTTTCCAAGCCACAATCAGCAATCAGACTGAGAAGCTCCGAGAGGAATTCATCCTCCCTCCTCTTTCTCAGTTGGTCAACCAATTGTCTATTCGCCTGTTGCTCCATTTTGCTGATCCTTTTTATAGCCGCTTCTTCAATTTCCCCGTTTCCGAATGTATATTCCGCCTCACCATCCTCCGGATCCGACTCCGGCTGGATGGTGGCATATCTGTTATTCCATCTTTCTTTTTCCAATGTGATCAAGTTCCTCTTAATCAACCGCTCTCTTGTTTTAACAGGGTCATCCATTATTTCCAAATTCAATCTCCCTCTCCCCCTACCCCTGCCCTTGGGAGGGGGGTTATCATCTTTATTTAGGCCCTGCACCACCTAGTTCCATCCTCTACCCTGTGTAGGAGGTGGGGAAAGCGAACCCTGAGCCTCCTGAATCGCTTGCAGTTCATTATCAAGAGGAACATCAAACTTCTCCCAAAATTCTGGGATTCTAGACCTGCTTTTCAAGGATAGAGCAGGGAAGTCCCTTGATACTTCCAAAAACTCATCATCGTTATCATAAATGCCTCTGTCGCCCAGCTGCTTGGTAATAATATCCCTTGCAGTAGCATAGGCGACATTACGATATGCCATAACTTTTTTAATGGCCTTCTCACGCTGGAATTTCCAACAAACCTTAGAGAGGCTCGTATGGGGGCCTCCACAGTTTATACATTTGATATCACGGTCACAGGCACCATGCTCATTCTGTAAACACCTAATGCATCGTCTTGACTTGTTTGTACATTGCATCTGGACGTGCCCGTACGCGAAGCACCGGTAACATTGTTTAACCGACTCAACACAAGGGAACACCCGCACACTCACGCATCCTTGTCCAATCCAGAGCTCTTTCGGGAGCTGATCCCCCTTAAAGGTGGCCAGAATGGCTAATCCTTCCACCCATTCTCATTTACCGTCCTTAACCACTTTTTTCTTTAGTCTCTCCAAAGTACACTCGGGTTGACCAGGGACGAGCGCCTTCTCCAGAGCACCGACGGGTCCCTCCCAGTCGGTAATAACACCCTTCCTAGTTCGTTCACGGTCCGGTAGGTATGCGTCAAAGCATGCCTCATTCTTCTCTGCCCGAGACAGGATTTCATTTGCTGTTGCCATATCGCTAAAGGTGAGCTCCGCCCTATTAAATGCAACCATTTTGAGTCCCCTAAGGAATCTACCCTTATTTTTAGTTAAACGATATATTTTAATTAGGTTTCTGCGCTTCATTCTACTCGTCGCTTCCTTTTTCAGGACCACCGTGACCATATATTCCCTACTGGGAAGCTCTTCTTCGTAAAAAACATTCTTCCGCCTCTCAGCTTTAGTTTGATGAGGGGTCGTTCCTTTATTCCTGATTCCAACATCTCGATCCTCGTTTCCAGTAACTTCCACGTGCTCAGGCGTTTCTAAATTCACTTCTACGATATTTCCAGGAAGATATTGCCAGCGATTAACAAACCCTCCAACAAAAAATTATGATATCACCAAAAAAATATCAGAATGTACTATTATATTACGTCACTCAGCAGGAGCCCGCCTCGTATCCAACCACTCTCCTCAACCGTCGAAACGGAAGTGACCAATGCACCGAGAAAAGACTTGGAAAAAACACCAATAGCCGCATCTAGATGCACCGTACACACAGGAGAAAACCCCTGAAAACCTTTGTCTCATTCGCACCCGCCTCGATTCCGACCGTTCGTCTCAACCGTCAAAGCGGAAGTCACCAAACACTCTACATACATACATACATAACGGCTTTACTTGGGCGAAGCCCAAGATGGCGTTCGAGAGGGGGGAGGCCCCCCCTATATTGCCCAACAAAAACAGCGGCCTATTCAAATCAATCTTTCCACGATACAATCATATTAATACAATTCATAATCAAAGCGCATTGGTTCACTCATTCATCTTTTTATAACTAAAAAGAGAAGAGAGAGACATACCAGCGCCCTGCACTTGTCACCACAAGGGTGGGGCAGGCCACCCCACCTCAAAAAACCTGTAAACTCAAACATAAAGTCACAGAAAATAAAGTCATATGGTTCTACCCAGTTTATCAAGGAATTTGGAGATTTTTTACACACCCCCAAGTTCCCACTCAAAAATTTCTGCTACGTCCGATCCAGGGGAAAACCCCTTTTCTTCCAAGTACATATTTAAATCCAGTCTTTCCATCAAAAATTTCTCACAATACCAGACAACATGTTCAATCGACTCCTCTCCGAAGCCGCAACTACACTCTTTACCTTCAATCAAGTTCTTTCTGAATAGGGACTCCCCTAGATTGAAATGGTTGGCCCTCAGCCTACTCATTCTCGTGAGTAGTTCCCTATCCACACCTGTAATTTTTAAAAACCAGGGCTTCTTGTTTCCTACGTTATTCTTTGGATTACCAAAATATTTCACTCCCTTAAACATACCAATCCCTGTCATTCTATTAACTAATCTCTCCCACGCCCCTTCAGCCAGATATAATCTGATATCTCGGGCGGAGACTCCTACTCCCAATTCTTCCTCTCCCATCGTTGCGACACCCGCCGGGAGATCCGCTCGCTCATTTCCCTCGATGCCAACATGGCTCGGAACCCACGCAAAGGCCACATTCATGACATTCACGTCTTCACTCTCATTACAGGTCGCGTTCATTCTTAGTTCCCTGATTATCTCAAGAATCCAGGGGCACTCTCCCAAATTCCTCCCCACATGAGCGACCTTCTCCAAAACACTCGCCGAATCAAGAACTTACAGTTCTTAGGTCTATTATTAACGTATCTCAGTGCTTGGAGAATAGCGTACGTCTCAGCAGAAAAAACTGAGGTGGCCTTATTTAAAGACCAACCAAACTCCTCCCACTCCCTATTTGCGCCATTAACCACCATTCCCGACCCTACAGCATCCATGCTGCGTTTCTTAGACCCATCCGTATAAATTTCCACTACCTCATCCACATTCATACTATTCCAGAACCCATTCTTGATTTCCTTAAACATAGCCCTATCCGGGATCTCGATTTGCTTTCTCTTTTTCCCCATTTCCCAATTAACTTTGAAACCCCCTTTAGCTAGAAAGGTTCCAACCTTCAGCCACTCTTCTCTACTCATCACCGCCTTTCTACAATTATCCGTCCATTCTTCCAGTTTCACCCAGGCCCGCGCCCAGGGTTCCATGCACTCCCATTCTTCCTCCTCTCTAACCACTATAACATTCAGCAAACTCTTTCTAACCAAACTATCTGTTTTAATTCTATGTTTAAACATGAATCTTTCCATCAATAATTCTACCCTAGTTTCCAGGTCGATCACCCCAGTCTCCACATTCATCACATTTATAGGAGTGGTCAATCTATATCCCATGGCAATCCTCAACCCTGCATTTTGCAGTTTTGACAATTTCTCCCTTCCCTTCTTATTTCACCAGAAGTACGTAAATATCCCGTACTCTATCACTGAACGAACCAAGCCTTTGAAAAAGACGATCATAGTTCGGGGGTTTACCCCCTTTTTAATACTTGCTATATAACGTAGGATATCCAGGCGTTTCTTTGCCTTATTACAGACGTACTCCATCTGCCCACCGAACGACAAACCCTCGTTCAGAACCACTCCTAAGAAACGAACCTCTCTACTACATTCCACTACTTCCTCCCCGATTTGAATGGAGGATTTAAGCCCTTTCCTGGCTCTGTTTCTGGTAAAAGTCATCCATTGTGTTTTTTCCATTGCTAAATCTAGACCTATAACTCTTAAATTTTCCATAATTCGTTCAATAGCTTCGCACAACCTATGTTCCCTTTCCAACCGACCCCGCCCCCAGACATATATCACAATGTCGTCCGCATATAATAGAATTCTAAGGCAGTCCCGTATACAAGAGGGGGCTCAATACCGACTCCTGGGGTAAACCCCTGGTCACTCTGCCCTCACTTTCCGGATCAAATGTCCTTCTACAAACCGCCCACCTATTCGTCAGCTAATCTCTTAAGTATCTTTTAACAAAAAGGGGGCATCCCTTTCTATTCAATATTTCTACCATTTTCCCATGTAATACCCTATCATATGCCGCTTTCACGTCTACAAAAGCAGCCGACGTCTCTTCCTTACGTAGGAAGGCTGCTTTAACATCTGAGATCAAGATCATGATGTTATCCACCGTGGACCTACCCTTCATAAAACCGCTCTGCCGGGGGTCCACGATGCCCTCCTTTTCTACCCATTCCTGCAGGCGCTCTTTTACTAATTTTTCTAACAGTTTGCCTAGACAATCAATTAAAGAGATTGGCCTAACGGCCTTTTTCCCTGGTTTATCTAGGAATCTCACGACACCCCTCTTCCAGCGGTCCGGGATGCATCCACTAGACCATATCCAATTATACATTTCTAATAGTAAGGATTTCATATTCTCGTGCATGTTTTTCAAACCAGCATAAGAAATTCCAACCTCCTCCGAGGCTGTATTGACTCTCACCCCCCTTAAAGCACTATCTAGCTTCTGTCGTGCGAAACCCTGACTATCCTCTCTACCCTCTTCTAGCCTCTCCCAGTCCCGTTGGTCATTCCAGGCAACAGGGCCATCCGTTGTCCCATTCGAATCTCCAAGTATTTTCCCAACCTCTTTATTTTCTAAGTCCCTCCTCTCCAATATAGGTATAACACAGATCACTTCCCTGGCCACGCCATTCCTAATGCTTTTAACCTTTCTCCAGGCATCTTTCGCACTCCTGAAACAATCAATAGATCCGGCAAAATCGTCCCACGCTTTACTTTTTTTTGCGTTTACCAGGTTTTTCATATTTTTTTCCGCCTCCCTTAAACTAACCCAGTTTTCCTGGCAAGGTCTTCTAACATAATCTCACGTGGCTCTCCTGCAACTGTTTTTGGCCTCCTCACATTCCTGGTCCCACCATACCTGTTTTTTCCTAACCCTAGCGCCCACAGGATCCTCTAGCCTAAACGATGGGGCCTTTTTTTTACCTCCCGCCCTTAGTAAAGCCCTACTCATCGCGGCTGTAAATTGATCAACTCTATCATTAATATTTTGACTCGACCAAGTCTCCTTTTCCCATGACTCATTAAGCCCACCCGCATCCTCTCCTGAGAAAACTTTGAACATTAACCAATTAATATTCTTCTCATTAAATTTCCTCGTGCCTACTTTATTACCATTCTGTACCAAAGTAATTCCCTCTTTTAAATGGAGAAGGATTACTTGGTGGTCCGACCCCAAGGTCTCATTTTCCTGTTCAATAGAGCCCAGTGTTACAAACCTATGCGAGCCTATAAAAAGGTCCAAATTGGAAGGTGGACGCCCCCCCGATCCTATCCTAGATAACGTATATCTATTAAGCACGAATAGATCTGCTTCCCTAACAACCTCCTCCAACGATCTCCCCTCCCTACTCTCGACCGGACAGTTCCACGCCTTGCTCCTAGCATTAAAATCTCCCATAAACAGAACCGGAACCCCGGGCCTCTTAAATTCTATCACATCCTTCCACTCCCTTTTACTCCAGGGGATCCCCGGCCTCCTATATACCACCACCATCCCAAACGATATCGTCTCTAGTTTGATACATAATGTCCTCCCGGAGCAGTAAAGCTACTCCCCCACCCTGTCTATCCTCGTCCAAATCAAGTCTAACTATATTGTACCCAGGAATATTCAAAGTATCCAAAGGTTTAAGCCAGGTCTCGGTGATCCCGAACACCTGGAACTTGGGGTTATACTCTTTTAATTCCGCTACCTTCCCACGCACACTTCTGGCATTCCAAATTCCCATCAAAACTGAGTTATTCATTTTACCTTACAGAAGGGGTTAAAAACCCTTTCATCCCAGCAGTAGGGTGCCGCGCCCTCCATTGTTTCATCGCTCTCTCTTATAGTGACAAGTGCAGGGAGCATAAAAACAGCATTCCTACAAAATAATATAAACTTTATTGGAGAAAAAGAAAAAAACCAGCTCCAACACATAGTACCCTTTATCCTACAAAACCCGGACAAACACAGGAAATTGTACAACAGTATATTACCCTCTTTTCTCGTATCGCACGTCATGATTATATCCCAGCTGTCTTTATTCTGGGGTAGACTTACAGTTCTAGTCTTATTACCAAGGAGCCAAAAAATTTCCAAAAAACAGCTCATATCCAATTCCTTACAGTCTAAAAGAGTTTCTAACATTATTCCAAATCCGCAACCTATTATAAAAAACCAGTAATACAAAGTTAACTTAAAATTTAAATTCAAAATTAAAGTACAATCATATCGCACCCAAAGGCCCGACATAGGCCAAATCGGGTAAACATAATTCCAAATCAAACCATTCCACACAATATTAGCACTAAAAAATCTCACTCTTTTCCATTCATTCTTCCATAACCCTATCCCCTGCGATAAGCCAAAAAGTCGGCATCTGAGATCACACCACAAGGATTTAAACGTCTTTGTTCGGTTCGTCCCCATTATCTTGGCGGAAGACCCATCCCATCGGGCCCTTTTTCATTTCTCTTAGTCTCTCAAGGCAACGCTCTTCCTCCCTTTCGGCTTCTGCCTGTTCCCTCTCCCTCTCCCGTCTGGCATACGAGGGGCCAGGCAAGCTGTTCTCCCACTCTTCTTGTTGCTTCCTCTTTTCCTCTTCCCTTGCTGCGTACAAGGCCTTCTTCCTTTCAATTTTAGCTTGAGTTTTGGCCGGTATCGGTATATCCCAGGGCGGCCTTTGAGGAGTATTCCACTCCCTGAATTCCTCTTCTTCGGATTGCTTTTTCCATACCTTTTCTTTCTTAAATGCTGCTCCAGCTCCTTCTCGAATCCCCTATCTACTATCAGGCTTAAGAGCTCAGAAAGGAATTCCTCCTCCCTTCTCTTTCTGAGTTGTTCGATCAATAATCTGTTCGCCCTTTGTTCCATCTTACTCACTTTCTTAATCGCTGCTTTTTCCAGTTCACCATATCCAAAGGTGCACTCAGCTTCTCCATCTTCCAAGTCCGACTCCGGCTGCAACACCTCATACCTGTTTTCCTTTCCATTTCCATCATTTTTCTTAACCAGGCCCTCCCTGGTTTTAATACGGTCATCTTCAATGATTAGATTCAGTCTACCCCTACCACGTCCCTTACTAGGAGGAAGGGGGTCCTTTCGGAGTCCCAGGGCTGTCTCCCAGCCTCTTTGGTTGGGCACCGAAGGGGAGGACTGGCCGCGAGCCTCGCTGATGGCCTGCAGTTCCTCACTCAGGGGGACTTCCCCCTTTTCCCAAAACTCAGGATTTTTAATCTTATTCCTCCTTGACAAGGCCGGAAAGTCCCTGGATCCATCCACTCTGTCGTCTTCTTCATCCAAAATTCCATTTTCTCCCATCTGCTTCGAAACCAAGTCCCTTGCGGTGGCATACACCACGTTGCGGTACGCCATCACTTTTTTAACTGCTTTTTCTCTTTGGAACTTCCAGCAGCCCTTCGACAGACTGGTATGGTTCCCACCGCAGTTTAGGCATTTCTCCGGCCTATCACACTGTCCATGCTCATTCTCCAAACATTTAATGCACCTTTTATATTTGGACATGGCCAAATGCAAAGCATCTATAACACTGTTTCACAGCTTCCACAAACGGGAACACCCTCACACTCACGTGGCCGTGACCTATCCAAAGTTCCTTCGGTAATTGATCTCCCTTGAATGTAGCAAGGATTGCAATCCCCTCCACCCACTCGGTTTTGCCGTCCTTGGTGACTTTCCTTTTCAATCTCTCAAACTTCGCTTCAGGTTGACCAGGCACCAGGGCTTCTTCAAGCGCGTCCACAGGTTCTTCCCAGTCTACAATCACACCTTTTCTGGTCCTCTTCCGCTCTGGCAGGTATGCATCGAAGCATGTATTTCCCTCGTCCGCGCGTCTCAAGATCTCGTTAGCTGCGGCCATTTCGCTGAACGTTAGCTCCGCCCTGTTGAAAGCGTCCATTTTGAACCCCCTCAAATATCTCCCTTTATTTTTAACTTGTCTATATATTTTGATAACATTTCTACGCTTCATTCTACTGGTGGCTTCCTTCTTCAGCACCAGCGTCACCATGTATTCTCTACTGGCGAGCTCTTCATAATAATAAGATTTTTTTGATTTCTCACCTTTTGAAGCGTTCAAACCGTGTTCTGTAATGGCCGGCTCTTTGTTCCTTTGTGTTTCGTTGTCCTTTATCAATTCCAAATTCTCAGCGTCCTTTTCCACAGTTCCTTTTTCCAAAGTCTTATCCCTATTATCTGCATCAACAATACGTTTAGGTACGGTGCTCACCTCCACGGGTTGCTTATCGCCCTTTTTTTTACCTTGAATTACGTCTCCCAGATCCTCCTCGCTAGTTCTTCTTAGTCTCTTTCTACTTTTCTACTCTGTCTTGTCGTTCAACGTTCTTTGTGCGTCACTTCCTATTTCTAACGGTTTTTCCGTCGTCTTTTCAGTACTACCAACTTCGCATTCCAAAAGTTTCTCATCCAAGTCCATAGAGGCCGTGCGTGGCTCTTTTGGATTGGCCACATCCCCACTTATTTCCCTTTGTTCGAATCCTGCTACGATTTCAGCAACCTTCAGCTCCCTCTGAGGTGTTTTTTTTCCCAAAACCGTTTTCACCGCAAAAAATTCTCGTGCTTCTTTGTCTTCTTCCAAATACTCAGTTTCCCATTCACCATCACTTCCTGGTTTTTCCACTTCCACTCGCTTTTCGAGCTTCGAGCTTTCACTTTCTCTTCTCCTTTATCTTCCTTCTTCTGCTCCCAAGCGGCATATCGTTGCCGCTTGGGAGGGTCCCCTCCCCCCGCCGATTAATTCCTGGACCGAGTAATCTCAGCCCAGGAAAAAACCCCAACTATTCACAACACTTCACTTCTATATGTCCGGGTTTTATGCTTGATTCTCTAAAAAACTCAATTTCCCTACAGAAAACGCGATTTTCCCTATGAAAATCACCACTTGGAGCGAACTTTCCAGCGCACTCACCGCTCTACCCACCACCAAACACTCTCGTCCATGCACCTACGGGGATGAGTTGACAGCCCTGCCCACCCCAAACCCCGCGCATTTTTAAATTTCTTTTTTCTTTTCTTTATATTTCTTCTCACAATCTTTTCCATACTTTTACAGTCTTTAACAGTTTTCCATACTTTTATGTCTACAAATTAGTCTTTCCATACTTTTTGCTCTTTTTACTCCACATTGTTACATTCTTCTAAACTTTCCGCAACACTTTTATTATCTCGTGTTTCGACGTTTCCGTCGCCGATCGTGGTACACCAAATGAGCATCGCCTTTCTTACTTTTGCCTCTTCTACACTAATCTTACATAAATGAGTTTGACAATGCTACTATCGTATTTTAAAGAACATCAATATAAATATAGAAAGGAAGGAACTACCCTAATCTGTTGTAATCTATTCTAAGGTCTCTCAAACATTACACTATCTAACACCCTTTCACTCCCTCTCATTCACTCCTTCACCCGCCCCAACCGAGCCCTCGGCAACCATCGCTCGAGGGTTCCATCGTCACCCCCATCCCCTCGCCGAGCACAGCTCCCCCTTCTTTTTCCCTTCCAAACTCACGCCTCTCGAAGGCACAGCCCCGCTCACACGCCCAGCCGCGCCTCCCCGACCATTCATCCACTCGCACTCACTCCCCCATTCAGCTCTCCCCTCTCTCCTACCCCCAGAGTACCAGACACACCGTCACACCGCTCCAACCCAGGGGCGGCACACCGGCTCCGGGGGCTCCCGCTCCACGGCGCGAGCGTCCACAGCAGGGCAGCACGACTGCGCCCACAACCCACTGCACCCACACCTAATCGAACAAAATGTAGGGAACCCAGAATCCCGAATATTATCCAATCAATATCGCCGCTCTCATGCCCCCCGCTCCACACTCCAGGCCCCCCCAAGCCGGCCTCCCCTCCCGCATCCCACCCCACTCCCACAGTCCCGCCCCTCTCACACATCCACCCCCCTCGCTCCCTGCTATTGAAACCGGCCCCACCGCACAAGATACCCCAGTCCTCCGCACAGGCGCCCCAAACAACTCCGCCCGTCCCCACAAGAAACCCCGCCACCGCCGCGCACACCGCAGGTCTGTCCCCTCCGACCAAGTCCCGACACCGGGGTCCGCCCCGAAGCCCCCCTTCGTGCAGTCCACCGACAAGCCCCTCCCAAAGATGCTCGCACCCCCCGCACTCTAATAGAACGCGAAACACGCCTTCTATCGCCCCCCCCACAGCCACACCCAGGGCCCCCCCACAAAGCGCTCTCTCGCGAGCGACCCTCCCACACTGTACTGACCAGATCTCACTCTGCCCAAAACCGATACAGTCCCTCCACTCTGTACCGCAAACCCTCCAAACCACGGCCCTGCACAGTTCCCACCCGCGCCGACCCCGACGAAGCATCGCACCCCTACAGCTCGCCTCCCCTCGCAACACTCCCAGCCGCCCACAACACCCCTGTGCGCCGGCCCCCACACAAAGACAACGGGCGTCCTCCCACAATCCACAGTCCCGTCACACGGTAAGTTTTTGTACATATATATTTCGTTTAACTCGTTTAGTATTTTAACAATTATTTCGTTTATTTTACTATTAAGTATATCACTGATGTCTTTACTTCTGGTTGCGTCCAGCACCCCGAGGACACTCGCAGAGTCACTGCACACTACCAATCCTCCCCTACCGCCGGATTGCCAGTAAGTCTTAAGAGCCTCCACCACCGCAGTTGCGTCCGCAGTAAATATGGTGGCTCTTGGGTCCATACTAATAGTCTTTTCTTCCTAGGTGTCATGTCTTCTGACCACCGCAACCGCCCCAACCGACCGGGCTCCCCGCTTCCTGAAACCACCGGTGCACATCCCGACGAAGCCCCCACCGATCGACCCACAGAGCCGCCTTGCCCCGGCCGGGACGCTCTCCAGAACCGCACTCGGCACCACCATCATCTCCCCGGCTCTCCACTCGATCCAGGGCCTGGGGCACTCCAGAATCCCGACTGCCGGGCGCCAAGCACCCAATCTCGCCAACGTCACCAGCCGTTCATCCCCTCTGCAAGCCTTCACCATACAAGTCCAGTTGCCACCCGGCAACTCCTCGACCCCCTCCCAGGCTCCACAAAATCAGTCTCAAAATATCCCCCTTCTACCACCCACCCCTTTAAGGAGGCACCCCCCTGCGACGACAGCCGCGGATCGGCGTCGCGCATCGCGGGCCCCACCGCGGCGGCATCCCCACTCCCGAGTAATTAGACTATAAGTAGGACCGATCGATGCGCGGATCGATGAGTTGCCTCGGGGCTTCGGCCCCGAGGGGACCTCCTCGGAGGTCCGGACCGGAGCACCAGAGCTCTCGACGCCATGGCTGACCTGGCGAAGAGATCTCTGGCCGTAGCATTGCACTACGCTACGACCTGGCATCTCCCCTAGGTCCAGCGGCCGTAGGCGCCTAGCCTCGTCAGTCCCGTGGTTGACCCGGGATGACCAAGCTAGTGCGCGTTCATAATCTCTGCTGGTGCTTCCGCGGGGATTCCGAACGCTAGCTTACTCGGCACCGCAATTTGCCTTTGGCAGCCGATTCCGTCCAGCTTTGTGGCGTTACCCAGGCTGGCCAGGATTGGTCGTCGACTCGTTCGCTGTTCGGTTCTACCTCGGCGTACGAGAAGACGAGCCGCGTGAGGCAAGCGGGCAGCAACTCCACTGCCGCGCGAAACACCGCAGCGCGATTGAATAAGCACCGTCGGCCCAACCGGGCCAATCCCATCCCGACTCGACCTCTCTTGCGTTTGCGTACGTTTGCGTTTGTTTGCGTTCGCGCTCCGTTCAGCGCTTTCACTCCGCGCTCCGACATCGCGCCGTTAGTTGTAAGACCGCGTAGCGATGGCTACGACCTGCGCTAGAATTAAGGCCGCGTACTTTCTGTGACGGACCGGGTTCCGACCGTAGTTCATAAGTCCTGTACATTAGGCTTAAGCTTGGCTCCACGCGTCTAACCACCAGACGATACTTTGATTGTAGCTCCCGAGGCAGGAGAGCACCGCCCGACCAGCCGGCGAGGGCAGCCGCTGCTAGACGCCCCACTCTTTGGCCAAATAAACATTTTATTTTTCTACTAACACCGACTCGTTATTTACCGACCTGTTCCCATGCGAACCCTGGCACGGGGAAAACCGCCGCGGTGCGCAACGCCGTGCGCACCGAACCGACCGACCCCGTTACACCCCCGCCAACAGGCCCACTCTGGTCCCGAGATCCACCATCCCCGCCCCAACGTGTACGAAGCTGGCAGGCGCTGACATTCCACACCCCACTGCCACCCCCATCCCGGCACTCTGAACTCCATTCACTCCCTCTATACAATTCACACCTCCATCCATGCACACCACGGCCCCGTATTCAACCACCGATCCAATCAGTGCCCTGCACAGCACCAACACTATACTTCGGTCCACGCCCCCCGCCATGTGCGCGATATATCCAAGCATGCCAAGTCCATCCCTGGCTACGCCTTCGATGCGTCTCGTATGCTCGCGAAGACAGCACCGCCTATCAAAGACCATCCCCAACAACTTTGCCTCATTCGACTCAACCACTCTCGCGCCTCCTCCCCCTACCGCGACCGCCCCGTCCGCTCCACCATCGGAACCCCCCACTCCCCACCACCTCGCAAAGCTGACAACCACCGCTCCCTCCACCGACAGGGCCAATCCCACTTTTCCCAAGCCTCCTATCATTTTGCCCAGAGCAGTTTCCAACTTCCCCACACTACCAATTCTACAATGAATTGTCGACACACAAACGCCTACATCGTCTGCGAACTGCAGCTCCACCAACTCCTCGCCGCCAACCCCCTCCATGACCCCGCTCGTGCAGATGCTACACAATATAGGGCCCAGCACCGATCCCTGGGGCAGCCCTCCCACCACTCCGCCGCCCGCGCCATCCTCGACTCCTCCCGCAACCGCAGCCACTCCTCCCCCGAGCCAACCCCCGACGCACCCGAATACCTTGATCGGGCAACCCCCCCTCACCAAGACTGTGAGCAGCATGAGGCGATCGACCCCGCCGCAGGCCGACGTCCAGAAACGCCGCCAGGGTGGCCCCTCCGTTGCTGCAGCCACCCCGTATATCCGTTCTCAGTCCTACAAGGCTGTCAATCGTCGATCCGCCCCGCCAATCACGCATGATGCCGCTGCCCTCCGCCCACCCTACCAGTCCCGCGTTGACGACTCCCCCCATCAGCCCACCCAGGCTCCCGCCACCTCCAGACCTCTGTATATTGCGTCCCTCAATTCTATCTCTTCCTCCGCTTCACTCCCTACCTCGGGTCCGCTCCGCGTCAGATTCTCAACTTCGGCATCCATTTTGATTCTAAATACGTTCCAATTAATTTTCTTGTACCCAAATTTTTTTGTTGAGAATCTTTTGCCAATGATGCCGGATGGTACATTCATGACTCTAGGAAAATTCACCGCCCACAATTCACCGTCAGCAATTCAACGTCAGCAATTCACCGCCACCTCCTTCCTTCCTTCCTTCAAACTTCAACCAATTTCAAATAATGGGATGCTTTAGCATCCCCTTAATTGTGAGGGTTGGCATCTTTTGGGGACTTTGCTGTCCCCATGTTGCCCAACGAAATGTATCGGCCACGCGCCCACGAAGATGGGCTGGCAGCTCTGCTGCCAGCCTCAAACCCCGCGCCTTTTTGAATTTTACTCTTCTTACTCTTTGTACATCGTCTCACACTTTTCCGTCTTTCATCAGTTTTACATTGTCCTTACTTTTATTTCTTTTCATTTTCATTCCGTACTTTCATTACTGCTTTTCCGTACTGTTATTTCAAACCGTAGAAAGTCACGCCTACACTCTCCATCAGTTATCTTCCATCTGTTTGTCTTCTGTCCGTGACACCTCAGACAACCTATAGTTTGCAATACAATTCTTTCTTAGTCTACTTTTACATTCTATAATTGGTTATATATGTTATACATTATAGTGCAATATGATATAATATTTAGTAGTCTATTTTACACACACTCATACTCCTCTTTCTCGCACTCATTCACACTCTCTCAATCAGCCATTCTTATCTTTTAAGTAACCGAGCTCTCGGTAACCATTCTTCGAGTTTTTGGTTTTCCTTATTTTTCCATACTACTTGGGCTTAGTCACCCCTCTTTCTTTTCAACTTGTCTCGCGTACCTCGAAGTCCAGTTCCGCTTACATGCTCTGTTTTTTCTTTCCATTCAAATATCTCATCTTTTATTGACTTTCTTCTTCTCTTGTTTCAGGTCGATTCATTCGTAGCTTCATCAGAAGTGGCACATCGGCCCAGAGATCCTCGTGCGTCAGCGCCGGGTTTCAGAGCAGAGCAGCTTGTCTGCTTTTATTTTATTTTGTATTTATTTCTTTATGTAAAAAAAGAATATTAGACCCTTCATTCGTCTACTCGTGTGTTAGCCTCCACACTATCCCCTCCTCTCTTCAGGCTCCCCAAGCCGGCATCCCCTCCATTCCTTACATTTCCTCTCACATCTCTCTCATTCCTCCATTCCCATCATTCTCACGCTTACTCTCGCAACCGGTTTTTACGTTTCAATCGCTTCACTCACTCCGCGCACGCGCATCATATTATTCTACCAGTTTCTACAAAGAATTTTGCAACGGCCACGCAGACGGCCGGTTTGTCCCTTCTTATTAAGTCTTGATACTGGGGTCTGCCCCTAAACCCTTTCTCACGCAGTTTTCCTCTAATGTGGTCGTACTTTTCGCACTCCCACAAGACGTGGCAGATATCCTCCATCGCTTCGCCACATTCGCACCCGGGGTCCTCCATCAAGTGTTTCTCGCAAGTGACTCTCCTATGTTAAAGTGGTTAGCTCTTACCCTGCTTACTACCGAAATAACTTTTCTGCTCTGTACCGCGAATTTTTCAAACCACGGTCTTCTACAGTTCTCGTTAGTGTCTATTTCATTAAAGTACCTCGCACCTTTATGACACGCCTCTTTTTTCATAATCGATGTAAAGTCTTTCCACTCACTTTCCACTAGTTCTACTACCAGGTCTTCGTACGGTATCGTATATTCTGGGTTCGGCGGTAGTTCCGTGGCTCTTTTGGCCGCCACATCCGCCCTTTCGTTACCCTCAATACCCCTGTGGGCAGGGATCCATAGAAATATTACAGGCGTTCTCTTACGATCTATTTTCTCGTCACACGGTATGTTTTTTTTTGCGTAAATTTCACTCAGTTCTTTCAATATCTTTATAATAATTTCACTCCTTTTAGTGTTTTTATACTTTTATTTCTAGTTCCTTCTAGAACTTTCAACACACTCGCGGAGTCGGTGTACACTAGGAGTCTTCTTTCGTCACCGGATTGCCTGTAGGTTCTCAGCGCCTCCGCCACAGCTGTGGCCTCGGCCGTAAATATTGTGGCTCCTGGGTCCATACTGACTGTTTTCTCTTCCCAGGTGTTTCCTCCTCTGGTTACCGCAGCTGCTCCCACCGACGTGGCTCCTTGTCTTTTCGAGCCGTCAGTGTAAATCTCGGCGAAGCTTTCGTTTATCGTCCCGTAGTGCTGCCTTGTTTCCGCCGGGACGCTTTCCAGTGCCACGTTCGGCAGTGCCATCATTTCCCCGGCCCGCCACTCCACCCAGAGCTCAGGGCATCCCAGTATCTCGACTCTCTGGCTCTCAGCCCCGGATTTCGCCAGTTCCATCAATCTCTCGTTTTTTCTGAAAATTTTCATTACGTAAGTCCAACATTTTTCCGATCGATCTCTAACTCCCTCCCACGCATCATAGAACCATTCCAGGAATTCTCCCTTTCTGTTTCCTATTTTTTTTAATAGATATTTTCCCGCTAACAGGTTTATTCTGGACTTAATCGACATTATTCCCGTTTCCACGTGCATGACATTTGTGGGGGTTGATATTCTGTAGCCTATCGCCACTCTGATACCCGCATTTTGGATTTTATTTGCCCTATCTATATTATTCACGCTACCGTCGATGTACACTATAGCCCCGTATTCTATTACTGATCTGACGAGTGCTTTGTATAGCGTCAGCATAATATTTTGGTCTACCTCTCGCGCGATGTGTGCAATGTATCTTATCATGTTCAGTCTGTCTTTTGCTACTTTTTCTACATGTTTTGTGTGTTCTTTAAAATAGCATTTCTTGTCAAAAATTATTCATAGAAATTTCGCTTCGTTAAATTCTACTATGTTCGCATTTCCCACCCTCACGGAAACCGTTCCGCTGTCGAA